ACCTTTTCAACCATGCGGGCCATATTTTTTTTTAAATTTGTCATCAAGGGCCGCATGAACAAAAGAAAATTGTGCATATGATATAATACTTATAGTTAAGTAATCGACGATATTTACCAACACTAAGTATACGATTAGATTACGACCTAGATTACGTTCTCTCTCATAACTTATCTCACTCTAATAGTCATGATTTATTTATTTATTACAATTTCAATTTTAAACACCATGAAATATATTTGGAGGGCCGCAAGTTCCGATTGCCGCGGGTTGCCGGTGCCTGCCGTAAAGTACTAAGGTACATGCCACAGTGACAACATTGTTATTATTATTATCGTTAAAATGTATATGTTTATGTTTGTATGCCAGTTGTCCTGCACCCAAAGAGCGGAGTAGTCGTTAATGTTGTTTAAATAAAGTGTTTAAGACATAGACCTAAAATAGTAAAATATTAATTATTTCAGATACCTACTCAGTATTATTTAAAAATACCCAGCGGTTATGTTGTGTACTACAATAAGAAAGTACGCAGCTATATTATAGCTCATAATAGGTACTATATCTATTTAAAAATATTAAATAGATAGATAGATAGATAGATAGATAGATAGATAGATACGATTTTTGACTTTTATAATTTATATAATATATTTGTGTGATTTAATATTGAAGGGTATTAAACCAACCACCAATGTCGGTCCATTGGACAGGAACGTCGAATGTTAGCTCCGCAATTAAAAAAAAAAATGAATGAGACCATGTTACTTTTCTGTCTTATCTTCCGATAAACTGTAATTGAATAAATGTTGTATAGTATTGTAAATAAAACCCTAAACTACCTACCTAACAATTTTTTCAATCAATTTTGAGTTGTTGCCTGTATAAAAAGCTATTTAATATATTTGGCCCTGTTAATAGTCTGAGTTAATTGTAATGGTGTAATATGTAGGTATTATAGTGTAAATGGTCGTTTAGTTGTTACCAAAAAGTGTATAAAGCAGTATCAAATAGTTGTGTATATAAACTTTAAAAATTTAAGGTTTATACTTTATAAATTAAAGTAGAATATAAATTGATTAATGTAATAAACCGAATGAAAAGCTAAACAGACTACAAATCAGGCATACAATGCTGAACAATAAATATATATAAAAGTATATATTAACGATCATACATATTATACAAAGTAATGTCCGTTTATAATTATACTAATTTAAAATTGGGAAATACCTATTAAATAAGAAACTTATAATATATTGCATAATATGTGAAAAACCTAATGACTTATGACTAATATTATACCACCTATATTGTATTCAAATTACCTGAATCCATCGTAGCATTGTTTTTGAAGCGATTGTAGTTATTACTGTTACAATATTCTCCTATAGGTAATAAACACGAGTAATTGAAAACAATCATAAAATAATAATATTATATCACATACCTAATTGGAGCTCAGTTTTAGATTCTGAGCGGATCGAAGGATCTAGTGGTTTTACAATGGTGTTTATTTTTAAAATTTTTTTTTTTTTTATCCTGTATGTATACCTATAAAATTTCTACTAGAAGGAGTGCTTCGATTTCAACATATTGTATCTTATCTTTTAGCAAATTGAATCAAGATGTTACTTTAGAGAAGATATTTTTCGATTATCTCAATAGTTCTTTAATGTCACGGGGAAAAAAACCACTGACAAATTACAAAAAAACGCTAAAAACAGGATTTTAGTAACGAATAAACAAAAAATAAAAATAATAACAATTTTAGTTAATTTGTTGTAATTTATAATGTTAATTCAACTTACAGGTTATAAAAAATAATAACAATATAAAATATCCAGACTGACAAGCCGTATTCATTCAGAATTGTTTTTCATATACAAATTCAAATTTAATACAATTCATTATACTGCAGTGACCCCATTGTAACCTACTGAACAGAACAACATCCACTTACCGGCTATTTTTAAAATTTATTAGGAAATATATTTTTCCGGGAAAGAGGGAGGGCGAATCTAAGATATTGCTTTCAAATTATAATACTTTTTAATATGTTAATGTCTTACCCATTTTAAGTCATTAGAATCCGTGCTCTATATACTAATAACTAATAAGTAATAACTCACCATTTAAGTCTATACTTTTTTGATACCAATCCATTGAGTTATATGAAGTACTCATTCGACTATTATTCTGAAATTTTCTTTTATATAAGATTTCTTTTATATTCGTTGATATAATATGAATATCATCATCATTGTCTTGTATTGGCATTCCAATAGCATTGGTTCTTGAATGTATTTCAATAACTGAGTTCATTAAATCGAAGGTACCTGAAACCATTCATGAATCCGTTTAACAATATAAAACAACATAGATAGGTACACATTTAGATTGAAAAAATTAACTAATATTGAATTATTTAAAAATTCAGATTAATATAATCTCGTGGAATATAATTTTATAATATTTACATGCAATTTAAAAGCTACAATACAATTATTTTAACTACTTTTAAATCTAGATCTTATTCACACCATGTCAAGGGTCCAACCTGCTGAGAACCTCTCACAGTCAAGCACCTCCTTATCAATTGCCGTATCCATATAGATACCAGAAAAAGTCTAAAATTGCCCGACAACCTCTTTGAAGCCCTCAGCCCTATCCATGACAACACCAACAAAATAATCATATTTTTAAATCAAATTGATATGTATAATTTAATTTGAGAATTTATTGTATAACTGTACTCTTTTATGTACTAATTACCAATTTTTGTTGCAAGATAATAATTAATAACCTTAGCAGTTGATGTTGTACCATGAATAAAAAAAAAAAAAAAAAGTTTAAACGAAAATAAGAATTTTTCATGATAAAATAATTTTGAATATAGTAATATTTTAGTGGATTAGACCAGATTCTTACCAAATGCACATATATTGTACATAAACTCTATAGATTATTTATTTTTAATAAAATTAAAAAAAAAAGTTAGGTATAATATAAAATTTATTATGATCTTAATTCCTATTTGATATAAAAAAGTTATTTTTCACAAGTTATTAATTAAGATGTGTTTAGTTTAAATATATTTTATTAATCATGTAAACTGTAAATTTAAAATAGGTATATACAATATACATCATTGTAAATTATGATATAAGTTGAATAAAATTGTTTATTAAAATTAGGAAATTACTTTGTGACCCACTACTAAATGAAAAGATTGAATTCACTTTTTTAATTGAGTTAAGTTAATATATTTTTCCATATTAACTTTTAACTTATTGAGTTAAATGTATGATTTGTTAACTGATAACTTCTAACACATCGATATTCTGTTCACTTAAATTAACTTGAGTCAATTATTTTCATTCAAAAATGAGGCCGCGTTTTCCGTCGAATTAAAAATGCATGAGTTTATATCGGAGTATATAGGTACACCACGGACGTAATACTCTGCGTTTTAAGCCATTGATAGAACTACCAATGGAGGTATGATAAATTAAAAATGTAATAGTCGTATAGTTAGGTACCTACTTATAAGTACAAATAATAAAACTTTTTATACAGTCAAATATTGGTTGTCATTGTTGAACCACTATTGTTTATAGTAAATTAGTAAAAATCAAATGATAATAATATACAAACCATTGAATGACGACATATTTGTGACTCTATAAATTGTAGTAATGTCAAAATCTTCATAAGCATCTAAAATAAAAACAAAATAATTGTACAATATCAAACTATAAATATTCCCTCGCATAAGTTAATATATTTAAATACAACAAACATTTCGTGCACCTATGATAAACTTAGTTTATATTTACTAGTAATTATACCTTTAATATAGGTACCTCATTCATATAACATTAAGAAATAATAACGCTTTTGTTGCCCCGTTAACCTAATACTGGCGTTTTCGGTATTTTAGTATACCGTGATTCGGTAATTATTACTATTGTAACAATTAATACCGTGCCATGGTATAATTACCAAAAATAACATAAATTTTCATATATTAAAATGTATATAACCATAATAATAAAATAACAAACATATTTGATTTTTAAATTAGCTGTAAAATGTTCTTTGGTTGACACACTTCTAAATTACCGTACCTACACGTTCTTCAATATTAACCATAGTAATGGTATTTTAAACACACCAGTAGTAAACAATTACCGATTGGAGTTATCAAAATTTGAAATTCCTTTAGTCATATTCTCAAAGTTCACTGTATTAGCTATATCTTTCGTCAATAAATAAATGTTAGAAATACGTAGGGCCAAAATGAGATAGTATTAGTAGCTACTAAATCGGTTTATTTTAAACAAAATAAGTCATGTCGTATCATTGATTTTACATTTTTATCCAGTTTATTCTTAGCACATTCGTAAAGATGTGAATATTTATTTTAAGTGTTTTTAATAAAAGAAAACAGTTTTTAATTTTGTAAAAATTTTAAAATTTTTGTTGTGAGTTTATAAGATAAAAGATCATAATTTTAATAACTGTAAATGTAAATATTATATTTTTAAATTAATTTATGTATAATAAGTAAATAAATATTATAAAATGGTGTTATTATGTAAAATATTAAATATATATAAATAAATATAAAATATTTAATATGTACCTACCTATATACAATAAAACCAAATGTCAATTTGTTTAAGGTTTATAAGAAAATAAATTCCATCGAAATATATACTGCATGTTATAGGTATTTCATCATATTTATCATATTTCTCTTATTCGTATTTTGTGCATGTATGTAAAGAAAAATATTATGCAAACTTATATGGCTATATTATATAGGTAGAATATGCAGATTTTTTATAAAGTTCAGAGTACTCTTATTATTATACATTGTATTTTATATCAGTTTTGTTCAGTTTAACCGTTGATAAGACAACACGTCCCTTGAGTGTTACCTACCTGCTTTATTAGTTATAGTGATTTAGTATATTTAAGCACGTAAAAATTCTATAATGCCGAATAATACGAAAGTCGATACACCAGCAAAGAAAGTTTCTACTCAACCAAGTATACAAATGAATAATACCATCACTTTAGCTGATATTATGAAGAAATTGAAAACTATGGAAGATTCTCAAAATAACAAGTACAAATCAATCAATGATAAACTAATTAGCTATGAAAGTAAGATTAATATCATTAATAATTCACTTGATGGCATATTGTCGGCTATCAGTATTTTAAGAGACGAAAATGCAACTCTAAAAGACGAAATAAGTAGCCTGCACAACAAAATTACTATTCTCGAATCCACGAGTAATGTTAATTGTACTTTGTCGTCAGATGAAGTAATAAACGAAGCACAAAATAGATTAGTCAAAAGTAAAAATATTATGGTATTTAATATCTTAGAATTGCCAAATGAATCAGATAATACGACCTCTTTATCAGTTGCAAAAGAACTGTTGTTAGATCTTGCGCTTGATCTTGACATTATCCAAGCCAAACGCATTGGTAATGCTCGCTCTGGTGGACGGCCTTTACTTTTAAAATTCAATGATGCTAATGAATCTAGACTATTATTAAGAAATAAATCCAAGCTCCGCTCACTTGAAAAATGGAAAAATGTATGGGTAAATGCCGACCTGACCCAATATCAACAAGTACAAATTAAATCGTTAAGAAATATACTCCAGCAGAAACGCGCAGACGGTGATTTTAATTCAATTATTAAATATGTTAATGGTGTGCCAAAGATCGTCTCAAAAAACTAATAAGTAATACGCCCGCAAATCATGGTCAGTCTTGTCTATGTTATAATTGTAAATTAATTAGTATTAAGAAAAATATTAGAATTAAGTGTAATTATTGTAAAAAACATCAATCGATAAGAGTAAATTGTTAAAAGGGTACTACCAAAATGTAAGAGGTTTACGTACTAAGTTAAATACATTAATATGTAATATTTCACTATTCAGGTATGATTATTTTGTGTTAGTAGAAACCTGGTTAAATTCTAATATATTAGATGCCGAACTCGGGTTTGATTGCTATAATGTGTTCCGTCTAGGTCGGAGCGATAAGACAAGTAATAGTACTAGAGGTGGCGGAGTAGCTATCTTTGTGAATAAACGTTTTGAGGCCGAGATTATTAATATACAACATGATAGTGTCGAACAACTGTTTGTATTGATTAAATGGGGTAATAACGATAAGTGTATTATTGGTGCCTGTTATCTACCACTACACAGTCCGTTAAATAACTATACTGTACATACTGAGACGGTTGAATGGCTATTCAATAAATATACCTTTGATACTAATTTATTACTATACAGAGACTACAATCTACCACAGGTGCGTTTTACTAGTAATGATATTGGCCTAATATGCAATGGAAAAATTTCGTCTCGTTCAGAAATTATATTTGATTGTTTTTCATCGCTAAACCTACACCAGTTAAATAATATTTTAAATGTCCATGGTTCTCAACTCGATTTGGTCTTTTCAAACAACCCACTGGTAAATGTTATACCTTCAGACGATAGTATAGTTCCAATAGATCTGTACCACCCAGTATTAACTACAAATTACATGATAAATATTTCTCCTGTACATATTTGCCCTAATTCTTGGTTTTATGATTTCAAAAAAGCAAATTATGACCAATTGAATTTTATTATTGCTGGTTACAATTGGTCTAATATGTATAAACTATGTGATATAAATGATGCAGTTTATATTTTTAATATAGTAGTGTTAGACGCAATTGATCAAACCGTTCCTAAAAAATTAATTCGTAGTCGTATGTTCCCAAAATGGTTTTCCAAAGAGCTCTGTGTGCTTATTAAACAGAAAAAACGCCAGCATAAATTATTTAAGTCATCCGGTAATAATGCTGACTATGAAGCTTTTTCTGCATTAAGAAAAAAATGCAAAATCATGTCTAAATTATGTTATAATAAATACGTTGAGCAAATCCAATCTTATATGACAAATAATCCTAGGTATTTCTGGAGCTATATTAAGAATAAACAAAAGATTAATGTCATTCCATACAACATAACTGATGGTATTGCCGTTGCAAAAAATGTGGATGATGCTGTGCACATGTTTAAATCGTATTTTGAATCTGTTTACAGTCAGTCAAATAGTAATGTTGATCATATCCAATGCTACAATACCGATATTAATTTTAACAGTTGCCAGATCACCATAACGGAAGTTTTTGATACTCTACGTAATTTATCATATAAAACTCAAAGTGGTCCAGATAAAATTCCTGAAATAATTTATAAAAAGTGTTATTTTTCATTAACACGTCCAATTCATTATATATTCAATCTTTCTTTATCGTCAGGTTGTTTTCCTAACCAGTGGAAATCTAGCTTTATTTATCCTGTTTTTAAATCAGGTAATCGAAATGTCATAACAAACTATCGTCCTATTTCGCAATTAAGTTCATTGCCTAAAACTTTTGAAAAACTATTAGTACCAAAATTTACAATCGTTCTTGATAAAGTAATTTCAGATAATCAACACGGGTTTAGACATTCGAGGTCAACAACGACCAATTTATTAACCTACTATACAGATCTAATATCATATATTAGTAAAGGTATACAGGTTGATGCTGTATATACTGATATTAGGAAAGCGTTTGATAATGTCGACTTATCTATTCTAGTAAAAAAACTAAAAATTATCGGCATTGTTGGACCAATGCATGCATGGCTTGAATCATACTTGAATGGTAGAACTCAACAAGTAAAACTAGGTGATAGTGTTTCATTGTCTATAAATGTTACATCTGGAGTCCCTCAAGGCGGACACTTATTACCTATATTATTTACACTTTTTATAAATGACGTTAAAGATATTCTTAAAAGCAGTAATTTCTTAATGTTTGCGGACGATTTAAAACTATACATGCCTATTTACTCTCACGAAGATTGCCTTAAACTACAAGCCGATCTAGACGATTTTTGCTTGTGGTGTTCATTAAATGGGTTGAATGTTAATGCTGAAAAATGCTCACAAATATCATTTTCGCGGAGAAAAAAAAATACTCACTTTCAATATAAAATGAACAACTCTAATTTAATGATTGTAACACAGATAAGGGATTTAGGTATACTTTTTTCAAGTGACCTATCATTTAATGATCACATAACTATAATGTGTAATAAAGCTCTAAGAGTATTTGGTTTTGTAAGACGAAACTGCTTTGATTTTAAAAACCCTCATTGCTTTAAACTGTTATATTGTTCTTTAGTCCGTTCTATTCTTGAATACGGCTCAGTTATTTGGAATCCTTACCAAACGGGATTAATTAATAAAATTGAACGGGTTCAAAAACAATTTTTGAGAGTACTAGCATATAAGTCTAATAGAACTGACGTCTCGCTGGAGCAGCTAGCCAGTGACTTTAATATAGTGTCGCTTAAAAATAGGAGAACATTTCATGATGTATCTTGGTTGTATAAACTACTTAACGCTCAAATAATCTGTCCAGAACTACTTAACCAAATACCTATAAATGTTCCTCAAACAAACACTCGTGTATCAAAAACGTTTTATATACCTACTTATCGTAACAATTATAGTCAATTCGCTCCGATCAATAGAATGCTAATATCTGGTAACTCAATAAATAATTTCGATTTTTTTCATGATAATCTAACCAGGTTGAAATCAATTTTATTTAAATGTTAAATGTACTATCAAGAACCTACTATTATGTATTCATTTTAAATACTATTATAATGTATAGCTATAAATAGATTAATATTAAGTTATTTGCTCTTGTATAATGTTTTATGTGTTATATATTTATATTTATAAAAAAAAAAAATAACTGTTCTGAGCCCAGTTGTGGGCGTATACAATTACAATTATATAATATTATATATTATATGTAATAAATAAATAAATAAATAAATAAATATAGTACATATTTTGTGAATCTGATCTGTTCAAATTTAAATGATTAATTTATTGCAATTGAATAATTAATAAATTATGTATGGGTTAGTTTAATTGTTTCGAAACATTGTTGCCTGAATTCAAACATTAAGACAATCATTTTTATTTATTAGGTATATTTAGCATCAATAGGTATTCCTTTTCTATCACCTTAAGATGACGCCACACCCGCATGTGTTGTCTAGGTCTTACAATTGTACAATATAGCAAAATCTGTTTTGCGCGGGACAACTTTTCTCGCACCATATTTGTTGTAGAACCAAAAAATCACAACAGATAAAGAAGAACTTTATCTGTTCAATAGAATAGCTGTACATCTTTTTTTTTAATAGCACTGCCTATCCAATCATTATTTATATGAAAACAAAAAAAAACAAAAATCTAAATGTTTAGAAGCAAATACATTTTATTGTATTTATGTTATCTAAAATATAGGCACACTTTTGCATAGATCATTTTCTACCCTATATGTTCAGAAATTTTGGAGCCACTACTACGAACACAGAAAGATAAAAGTTGTCCCGCCTAAAAAAAAGTTTGTGGTATGTTGTTAATTTGTAAGACAGAAACAACACACATGGGTGTGAAGTACTCTTAATTATATTGCACTAAGTTTTCAAGTATTATAATTAGTACACTTACAATTAACATAATATTTTATAAGTTATAAATTCTTAAATCATTAAATCAAATACATATTCATAATAATTTAATCGGTGCTTACCATCTTTATGACGATAAAATGAAATTGTGCTTTCAGAAACTTTCAAAATGTGTGTAAAAATCAAGATTAATACATACAATAACGTGTTGCTTTTATAAATCATAGTGGATAAATATTTTTTTTCATTAAATTCTTGAAACATAACACATTACGAGTTGTTGAAATTATTAACTGGACAGTTCGTAATAAACTAAATGCAATGTCGAGAATAAGAGTATAGGTAGGTGTTTAGTATGTAGGTACAACACATTTTTATCACTTTTAAACGAATATAATTAATATGAAAGGTTAGGTCAATGATAATAATTTTGATGTAATTATATATATTTATATATATTGATATTTATTAAATGTACATAAGTGATAATATTATGATATATTTCTTATACATTTATTTAATCAATGATTAGGTTATACAGCAAGTTACATTTACGTTTACATTTTATTATTACCGTTAAATAGTTGTCGCTGTTATTTCTTATATCTATAATTGAATTCATAAATGTGATGTTTATTACCATACAGTCTTTATTTTAAGTTATAAGGTCATCTCGTAAGATAATATTATTTATCCAGTAGACAGTATAGGTATAATAATTGTTATTAAATTGGAAACTTTTTGTAACAAATAAAAACTTCAAGAAGGTTTATAAATGAAATTTTTTTATCCTACTTTGGACCAAAAAGAGTGTAGGTAGGTACCTAAAATTTAGCCTATTTAGCCCTCGTCTTTTAATTTTCTATAAGCCTATAATATAACTGCAAATAACGCGTTAAAGTACCAATATTAAATTAAAAGTAATGCGAGTTTAGACATTCTATATTCTAATATTTATATAAATTAATTAAAAAAAATTATTGTCGTTAAAAATTATCATTATTATTATATATATATATATATTATTATTGTACTTGGTAAAAACTTCATTGATATTGATTTAATAAACTCAAATCGGGTTATAACATTACTGGTGTATTTGGTCATTTGCTCCCTTAGGTTTTGTTCGTTATCGAGCGTGCTTTTCTTTTTTTAATTTTTACTTCTTAATTTTATTTGTGTCTCTG